CCAGGGTTGAGGGGCTTTCACCCAGCCTCTGGAGCCTGTCAGTTTGAACTTAGACTTAAAGCCTCCAAATTGTAAGAATAAACTCCTGTTTGTTAAGGCCATCCCATTTGTGGTATACTCCTGTCAGAGTGGCACTAGGTAACCAGAACAGAATTTGGTACCGAGAGTGGGGTGCTGCTCTGACAGATACCTAAAATGTGGAAACAGGAGTAGAGTGTGTCCTTGACCCGAGACCCTGGCAGAGAGACCCTGGCATATGGCATGACAAACTCAGGACAGACGGCAAGAGACTGGCATGAGAGTCGGCAGAAGCAGAGCTGAGAGAACCAGCATGAGACAGCGAAGCCTTGCCAGCCCACGGAGGAGAAAGCTTCATACCTTTGGTTAGGCAGCTTACTGGCGGAGTGGGTTGCCTTCGGGCATTAATTGGTAGAAAAGATCATCATGAAATGGAGCAGCAAGTTGGCCGGCCCATGGAGCAAAAAAGCTGAGTGCTTTTTGGGCACGTTTTTTTAGTGGAATGGGTTGCCGTTGGCACTAATTGGCAGAAGCAGAGACCAAGGAAATGGAAGCAGAGCTGCCTCAGCCTGAAGGGGTAGGACCATGGCCTTTGGGGGTGGAATGACCAAAGCCCCCTAGGTTTCAAAGAGCCAGGCCTTCACCAACTTGGTTTTGGAGTGTGGGGCTGCTCGTTCATGTCAGTGGGATGGAGCCATAGCTGTTGCCCAAGAGTGAGGGGGCGGGGCTTCCATGCCCAAGAGGGGGAGGAATAGGCCCACCAGGCCAAGGGGGTGAGGTCGCCATTTCAGTAACTAGGGGACTGGAGCCACCCAGTGGAGGAGAACTGTACAGATACCACCCATTGAAGATCTGTACAGATGCCAAGTTGACATGGGGTGGAATTGTGGTGGTTATGTTTGTGTGTCAGCTTGGCTAGGCCTGGTTGAGTGGCTGGGCAGCTGAATGTAGTATTCTCCATGATGAGACTGGTAATCAACTCCATGGTGAAATCTACTGTGAGCAGCTGAGTAGCTGCCTTTGGGTATATGGTCTGCTTCCTGTATATAAGGAGCAGCTTTGAGAATGGTCTCTAGCCTGTGGCACGCTTGTAGCCTGTGACCCTGCATGTAGTCATGTCGTTGTTCAGCAGCCTACTATGCTCTGCCGACCTGGGGATTTACAATGGACTTAAGTTAATGGCCTGCCGTGTGGTTTGGTAACATAGGGACTGTGCCTTTTTTACTTGTCAACCTTGGGGCTTCTAAGCCTCAGCAGCCAGCGGCTATCTGAGTGAAGAAATGCCTCTAGCTCCAGTGGGCTGGTAGTAGGAAGCAGAGCTGGATCCCAAGGTTGAGGGGCTTTCACCCAGCCCCTAGAGCCTGGCAGTTTGAACTTGGACTTAAAGCCTCCAAATTGTAAGGATAAACTCCTGTTTGTTAAGGCTATCCCATTTGTGGTATATTCCTGTCAGAGTGGCACAGGGTAACCAGAACAATCTGTAACTGGTTAACAGTGACTGCACTAAATCCATCAAATAGTTTTGACTTAACCATTTTAACTTGTCTCCCACACTGTATGATGCAATTAACCCTCCCTTCCCTTTGGCTTTCATAAAAGTTCTGGTGGCACAACTGTTAAAGCATTTGGCTACTAATCAAAAGGTCAGTGGTTTGAACCTACCAGCAACTCCTGGGAGGAAAGGTGAGGCAGTCTGCTTCCGTATAGATTTATAGCCTTGGAAAACCCTATGTGGCAGTTCTGCTATGAGTCGGTATCCACTCTGGTAGTGCGTTTGGTTTTGGCTTTCATGATGTAATAATTCTTAGTTTTCTTTTTAAATTGAGGTTTATCCTTTTGTACTTGGCTGTTTTAAGTTGGAGTTCCTCAAAGCTCAAATCTAGGTCCTTTCCCTTCTTGTACCAATAATATCTTTTGAGGTAATCTCATGCATGCTAAGTCATTTCCATTTATATGTGGATAACTACTTGACATCTCTATAGTAGAAGTCTTTAAAGGTTTGTCCAAATTACCTCATCCAAAACTGAATTTATAATCTGACCTCTTCCATCATTCCCTAGTTGAGTGTATTGCCCTGTCATTTATTTAACTGTTGGAAGCTTGTTGTTGTTGTTGTTGTTGTTATGTGCCCTCTAGTCAGACCCGACTCATAGCGACCCCTCCTTGGGTTTCTGAGGCAGTATCAAGCTTAGAGATGTAGAAGTACAGTGACCATGTGTTTCCCAAACCAGAGCATTTTTGAGAGTAGAAAGGATGCTAGTAATAATTACACTGAAATTGTTTAGCGGACTGGAACACGGTCACCTTGTTGTCGTTGACACCCTTGATCATCCCTCAGATCTAGTTTGTCACCCTGTCTTGTTTATTTTTATGTCTTTCTGACCTTTAAAATCAATGATTTCCTTCTTTACCATCGCTGCTGCTCTAGTTCCATCACCTCATCTGAACTGGCAGTGATCTTTGTGTTCTTTGTCTACTCTTGCCTTCTACAGCCTCTGGTTGGTCTCTTCAATATTATAGCCACAGCACACCTTTCCGAAACAAAGTTTGGACTTCCACTGTCACAAACACCACCTCATCCCATTCCTGCTTTCTTGTTTAAGACTCATCAGTGCCTTCTCACTGTTCTTAGAAAAAGGCCTTAAGTCTTAATTTGTTGCACAGTGCCCTTCACAGGATGGTCCTAAACAACCTCTCAAGCCTTCCCTTCAGTACTATGTTTGCCCGGGATGGCACAGCACTGGCATTCTTTTTGTTCCTTGAATGTACCACATGCTCTCTCTTTGCATGGACTGTTTCTACTGCATCGAGTGCTCTTCTCCTTTACTTACTTGCTATATACCTACTCATCCTTTAGGTCTCAGCTTACATGTGCTTTTTGCAAGGGATAGTTGTTATATCTCTGACTAGGTAAAATCTCTCTTTGTAGCTTCATGTACACTCATAAATTCTCAAATGGCGAATGGTATTATTTGCTTAGTATCTGTCTCTTCCATTAAACTGTAAGCTTCATGGGAGTAGGGACCATGTCTGTATCCTCACGATTGTATCAATTACCTAGCACAGTATATTTAAGAGTAAATTTTGGAAAGTGTTTGACTAGTGTAAAGATGTATTTTAAAATAAATTTTTGATGGTATATGTTAATATGAGACTGTACTAAACGTGTTATGATTGCTGTGAACTAGAAGTATATTTTAGGTGCTTACAGCTTAAAAAGGATGATGCACAATCTACATACAAGCTCTTTGTTGATAAATGTATTGAAATATCTTTTCCCATTCTCTTTCACTCTTTATCTTGTCTTTTGATAAGCAGAAAATCTTGGAATTCAATATATCAAGTTACTTTCTTTCATTAGTGCTTTTTGTGTTCACTTTTTCCCAGTTATCTCAAAAGTATCTTCTGACAGTTGATCATCTGAGTTGGTATTGATATAAGAGTAAATGTTTGACCATTTGGTCTTATTTAGTTGTTTGTTTAAGGGAGCACATTACTTTTGTTTATTTTATAAGGCAGTCTATTATTTCACTAAAAGATGACCTTGGGAGCGGCTTCAGTTCTGAGTTCAAAGGGTATCATCCTTGGGTAAGTCTTGGAAGTTCCTCCAGTCTCTCTCAGTTGAGTAAGTCTGGCCTTTTTTAGGAATTTAAATTTTGTTCTGCATTTTTCTCCCATTCTGTCAGTAGTGGTAGTCGGGTGGGTAATGGTAGTAGGGCACCACTTGGTCTTCTGGGTTTAGGCTAGAAGAGGCCATGGTTTGTGTGGGCTATTATCTTTGATTACCTTCATTTTCTTTTGCTCCAGACGAGTAGAGACCAGTGGTTGTGTCTTAGATGGCTGCTTGTATACTTTTAAGACCCCAGACACTACTTACCAAACTAAGATATAAAACATCTCTATGAACTATGTTATGCTGGTTGACTGAGTTGTCCCACAAACCTATGGTTCTGTCTTTTAACTCAGGAAACCAGTCTCTTGAGATGTTTGCATAAGTCTAGGAAGTATCTGTAACTGTGCCCCCTATGTGCTTTATTATGTATAAGAATATAAAGCACACACAAACATATGTGTAAGTATGTGTGTGTGTGTGTGTGTGTGTGTATATATATATATATATATACATACACACATATATGCTTTCTTATGCACATAAGTATCTATATAACCCCACTCATGTTTTTGGTTGTTATTACTATTGCAAAATTGTATATGTTAATAGTGTTTATCGAAACTGTGCCTCATTCTTACGTACTTCTTAGTGTCTTCATATACCTTGGTCAGGTTGTGCTGACTTCACCCGTATTGGGAACTGCTTTTTACATCACCTAAAATTACTAGTATTTACTATCTAGAAAGTGATTCCCTCTTCCTTCCCATTCTTTACCCTGGTAATCATCAAAGAGCATTGCTTTCTGTGTGTATACCTTTTGTTGACTTTTTATCAAAGTGAGATACAATATTTGTCCTTTTGTGATTGACCTGTTTTCACTCAACATAATGTCTTCCAGATTCAGCCAAGCTATATTTCATAGACTCTTTATTATTCTTTTTTTGCCTTGTCTTTTTATATAAGTGAGGTCATAAAATATTTGTCCTTTAGTGATTGACTTACTTTGCTCAGAATAATGTCTTCAAGCTCTGCCCATACTGTAGCATATATCAAGACTTCATTTCTCCTCCTGGCAGAGTAGTATTTCACTGTATGTACTGTATTTTATCTGTTCATCTGTTGATGGGCATTTAGGTTGTTTCCACCTTTTGGTGCTGCAGTTGCTATTCCTTATTGTTGCATAGTATTCCATTGTGTTCCAGTTTGTTTGTACATTCATTCGTTGGTGGACATTTAGGTTGTTTCCATCTTTTTGCTATTGTCAATAATGCAATGAACATAGGTGTGCATATGTCTGTTCTTGTCATTGTTCTTGTATCTCTAGGATGTATACCTAAGAGGGATCACTGATTTAGAAGATACTTCTATTTCTTCTAGCTTTTGAGGAAGCACCATACTGTTTTCCATTGTGGTTGTACCATTTTATAATCCTACTAGCAGTGTATAAGAGTTCCAGTCTCTCTACAACCTTGCCAGCATTGTTATTTTCTATTGTTTTCATATGGGATTCTTTTATTATTTTTTTTTTTAAGTACTTTCTGCATCTTTACATTGACCTCCTCCTTCTTTCTCCTTTTTTCAGTAGTGAGAAGTAAATATATCCCTGAGCCAGCAGCTATTTCTTGTTTGTTCTTTTCCTCTGATTTTTAATTGCAAGAAAGCACTAATTTCTTAGTGGCTTTAGCACTCTGTCCAGTAAAGTGAGCTTATAACTGGAAAGAATATACATAATATAGAGTTAATTACCTCTGTTTCCATGATGACTTCTGTTCAGATATGACCTTAACATGTAAATCAGTTTAGATTCTGGCATAGTTATTGTACTATAGCAGTACCAACTGGTTTTTAATTGAAATAACTGATATAGTAAAATATCAGTCACTATAAGATAAATATGTTACTGCTTGTGTATGTGTTATGTGTTACGTACCCTCGAGTCAGACCTGACTCACAGCGACCCCTCCTTGGGTTTCCGAGGCAGTATCACTAAGGAAGTAGATTGCTCAACCTTCCTTCTGAGGAGTGGCTGGTGGGTTTGAACCACCAGCCTTCTGGTTAGCAGTCAAATGCCTTAGGCACTATGCTACCAGAGCTCCTATGTTACTGCTTAATTTTCTCTAATTGAAGTAGGCTTTATGATGAGATAAACTTATAATATATTTTTTACAAGTTTCTTTAGTGTCTTTATACAAATTTGCTTCTAAACTCATTCATTCCTTTTGGGTTTTTTAAATTTTGAAGTTTTCTATACATTTAATTTGGATTAGGTTTAAGGGAAATTCAGGGAAGTTATAAAAGTTTAAGGAAATGTGATATTTATACTTTCAAAACAATAAATATATGCCATTCACATAGGAGAAAATCACAAATCTCTGTTCCTTTCCCTTTTTGCACAGTATGTACCACTGTAAAATGAAGGTTTGGCTTAGTAGGGGATTATATTTGAAACAGAAAACTGGGATGAAGAGTAATGTAGACTCCTGCTTTGATTATCTCTTTTTTCCAACAAGATACTTTTACTTCTGTTTCAGTTGGGCTAGAGTGATTGAGAGCAAGAATATAATGTCACTTGCTTTAGAAGTGAATATATGGTTAGTTCAGGAGTTGTGTGCCTGTGGTGAAGGAAGTCTGGAAAATATAGGCAAGTGCTAGGATAGAACTGAAAGATCTTCAGACTTATTTGAAGTAGAGCAAGTCAAAGAGTTCTTATTCAGAAAACTGGCCTACTTAGTTGTAAGCTAGTAAATCACTTATTACTATTCCTTTATACAATGTAAAATTGGGTTTGCTATTGTGCAGACTTCCAAATGTTAAAGTGTGTCACATGTGAATAAAATTTGGAATATTATTAGATATCAATAGCTGTTCTTTTTCTTCTTACTATTTTCTGTTTCTCAATAGATTGTCTGAATTTCCACATTTTCGAAATAATCATAAACCTGCAAGGACATCAGATACAATCAAAACAAAAGATCTTAAGTCCAGATCTCCTCATTCGGATGATTGTTCAAAGACTGATCCCAGACCGAAAAGTGATATTTCCAGAGATTTGCATCATGGCATTTCACTGCCAAACTTGGGAAAAGAAGGAAAATCACATTCTGAAACAAGGAGCACTTCACTTTTGCCAACATCTATTGAAAAGCATTGTGCCAGTGGCATTTGGTCACGTTCCCATTATCAAGTTGGTGACGGTAGCTCAAGTGAAGATAATAGAAGAGAGAAAAAAGATATTAGACATAGCCAGTATAGTGGAGGAAGTGATAGAATCCGAAAAGATTTTAATTCTAGCTGTGGTGATGGTGAACCAAGAAACACAGAGGCTAATCAAAGGCTACAACAAGGACGTCCTGAGAAATATGGTAAAAGTGAACCAAAGGCAGAGAGCAAAAATTCCAAGTTTAAAAGTAACACAGATTCAGATTATCAAGGTGAACACATTAGCTCTTCTTGGGAAAAAGAGACGTCTAGAGAAAGGTCACACATTCGAGTGGAATCTCAAAATGAGAAAAGACTAGAACGACAGAGTGAAAGATCACAAAATGTAAATCGGAAAGACCTTAAATCACAGGACAAAGAAGAAAGAAAAGTTGATCAGAAACCTAAATCAGTAGTAAAGGACCAGGATTATTGGAGAAGATCTGAACAAAAATTGCTTCCTCATTCCAGGAACGAGATAAAATCTTCTCATAATTCAAGTAAATACTATCTGGAAGAGAGAAGAGGAAGGGAAGAGTGTAAAAGAGACAGGGGTGTAAGCAGTCATAGTTTTCAAGATGGAAGATGTGCATCTTTTCTTTCAAGCAGTAGAGCTTATAAACACATTGATTCTAAGGAAGTTGATGGTATGCACCAGTGGGAAAATACACCCTTAAAAGCAGAAAGGCATCGTACAGAAGATAAGAGGAAAAGAGACCAAGAAAGCAAGGAAGAAAATAGGCATTTGAGAAATGAAAAAAAGACATCTACAGAACATTTGCAGAGGACTAATAAAGAAACTAAGAAAAACATTACTGATTTAAAGAGACAAAATGAGCCAAAATTTGGTAAAAGTGAAATTTCTGAAAGAGTAGATGACAAAGAACTTGCAGTAAAAGTTGAGAGTGGTCCAAATGAAGTAAAAAACAAAGACTTTAAGTTGAGTTTTATGGAAAAATTGAACTTAACTCTTTCTCCTGCTAAAAAGCAGCCTGTTTCTCAGGATAATCGGCATAAAAGAACTGATACTCCCAAATCTAGTATATGTGATTTGGAGTCCTTGGTGAATGCTAAAATAGTGACATGTGTTCCATCTGTTAGTGAACATATCACAGAGGAAACTAAATCAAAGTTACCAGAACCAAAGGATGCTCTTCCAACAGCATCTGAACACAGGATCAGTATTCCAGAAAGCAAAATGAAAAAAAAAAAAAGCTTGTTACTTAAATCTGTTGAGAATCCTGTGCCTTGTGACGTGCCTCTTTGTGGTACTGAGACTTGCATTTCAGCACCGGTGGAAAAGGACCAAACAGAGTCCTTTTTACCGTCAACAGAAATGAAACAAACCACTGATAGTACAAAGGCTGCTCCTGTGGTAATGGATGTGTTACAAACAGATATCTCTCAAAACTTTGGCTTAGAATTGGATAACAAAAGAAATGATTGTTTTAATTCCTGCAGTATTTCTGAAGGTATGGAAATGAAAGTGGGGTTTTCAACAAAAGTGGATAAACCCAGTGAAAGCATTTTGCAGCCACCAATTCAAGAAGCTGGCATTTTGCCAGTGATCCTTTCAGGAGATGGTAACCCAAAATTTGAGCCGCCTTTTGTGGGTACACCTGTTGTTGAGAGTAAGTCTTGTTATATGGAGCCTTGCTTACCTAAAGAGACTATAGATTGTTCAGTGCAGAAGACAGAGTTAATGGGCCACAGAATGGAAATTGGTGAAACAAACTCAGTATATCATGATGATGAGAACTCAGTACTGAGCATTGACCTTAATAACCTGAGACCTATTCCAGAAGCCATCAGTCCTCTGAATAGTCCAGTGAGACCTGTAGCAAAAATTCTTAGAATGGAAAGCCCATCTCAAGTTTCATTACATAATAACAGCCATAAAGGTAATGGTTTATATTTTCTTTTACATCTTTTTTTTTTTTTTTTGGTGAGAATGTAAAATATGTAAGTAAGGTGGAGTGTTGCTTTTTCATTTTCTTTTTGGTAACATAACCAATGAACACACTATTTGGAGCCCATTGTTAACTGGAAGCATACAATTGAACCTTTAATCTCTAAATTTAATTAATTGTACAAAAGAGAAGGAGATGGCTGTTAACTAAAAGGTTGGTGGTTTGAACCCAACAGCCGCTGTGAGGGAGAAAAATGAGGTGGTCTGTTTCTGTAAAGATTTACAGCCTTGGAAGCCCTATGGGAAAGTTCTGCTTTGCCCTATAGCATCACTGTTAGTGAAATCACCTTGATGGCAGTGCATTTGGTTTTGATTTGTACAGAAGAGAGTGGTGGGACAGATTATCTCAAATACTGTTTGCTTGCTTTCAGGGATTTTTTTTTTTTTTTTAATTGTGCTTTGGGTGTAAATTTACAAAGCAAATTTGATTTACATTCAATAGTTCACGCGCATTTGATTTCACAGCCCCATTACCGTCCCCAGCCATAAAAAACTCTCCTCTTCTTCCTTCCCTGTGACTCCCTCTTCCCTGTGCCCTTCTTACCTGTGCATTCCTGTCTGTCCAGCTTTCCCTCTATGTGAATGCTGTCCCTCTGGTGTCTCATGGCTGATTGATCTAAGGGATGCATCTCCCTAGAGTAGGTCGGTGCATCTTCCTGGGGTAGGTGTTCTGCATGTGGGTCTTTGTACTGTTGATCTGAGAGCCAGGCCATGGAGGTAAGTCCTTTCCTCAGCCAGAAGGGTAACCCAGTGCCCTAGTCTTAGGGGTTCTACCAGTTTCCATCTGACCAGTAATTATGGTCATTTTTGTGTTTTTGAATTTTGTTCCACATTTTTTCTCCCACTCTGTCCAGGATCTCCAGTTTTGATCCCTTTCCATGTGGTTGGCGTTGGTAGCCAGGCGCCATCTAGATTTTCTGGTCTTGAGGTCATGAAGGCTGAGGTCCATGTGGTCCATCTTACCCTTGTTTCCAGATCCCTTTAATTTTTTTCACTCTTCTTTACTCCAGACAACAGGAGACCAATAGTTGCATCATAGATGGCCACTTGAAAACTTTTAAGACCCCAGTCGCTACTCACCAAAGTAGGTTGTAGAACAAGATTTTTTTTGTACTATGTTGTGCTAATTGAGTATGATGTCCCGCAAGACTATGGTCCTGAGCCCATAGGCCTGGTCAAGGCATATGGTTGTCTCTGAGAAGTTAACTGCAGGTCTGCCTTCTGTTGCTTCTGTAATGTAAAAGTGGCTGATCTTGTAGCACAAGTGCATATGTAAGATTATCCTGTTTGCTTACCCCCACCTGATCTTCTCATCTGTCTATGCATTTATCTGTAGCCTGGTATTTGGTGCTAGTGGTAATGCAGTATTGTGCATGTAATAGTATATCCCTCTGTTGTCTATATCCTATGTGCGCGTTTCGGTGTCCTTCCTTTCCCTAGTGTTGTCATGCTGGTCACAGACTCTCTCTGTACCATCCTTCCCCTTACCCAAGTCGACATGTGACCCCTTACTAGTCTGAACTTTTCTCTCCCCTTCCTTCCTGTCCCCGGTAATCAACAAAGTGAATTTCCTTCCTTGAGTAAACCTTTCCTTGAGTTTTTACAATAATGGGGTCATAGAGTATTTGTCCTTTTGTGATTGACTTATTTCACTCAGTATAATGTCCTCCAAATTCATCCACGTTGTGAGATGATTTGTGTTTTCTCCATTATTCTTTAATGTTGCATGGTATTCCATTGTGTAAATATACCATAGTTTGGTTATCCATTCATTTGTTGATGGGCATTTAGGTTGTTTCCATCTCTTTGCTATAGTGAATTGTGCTGCGATGAACATGGGTGTGCATATGTCTGTTCCTATCCTGTATCTCACCTCTTTAGGATGTTTTCAGATGTTTTTGTTGTTAAAAAGCCATCATCATATTTGAGGTGTTAAGTGATGCTACTAACATGAAGTAAAGCTATCCTGAACTATTGCCTAATGGTTATCCAAAAGACCAAACTTTATATTTCACTGTTAATCAGCTATGTTCTGAGCAGATTTAAAAACTTTTTTTTTTTACATTTTTTTTGTTACGATAAAATATGCATAACAAAATTGAGCATCTTAACTGTTTCTGAGTATACAATTAAGTGGTGTTAAGCATATCTGCAATATACTTTTGTATAATCACTATTATCTATTTCCAAATCTTTTTTATCATTCCAAACAGAAACTATACCCATTAAACAATAATACCCCATTCTTCCCTCCTGACAGCCCTTTCTATCTCTATGAATGGGCAGATTTTAAGACCAAGACATAAGTATTTGACATTAAAATTCTGCTTTTTATAAAAGCTATTAAAAGAATGAATCACTTTAGTATTTATTTGTTTGTTTATTTAAGATGGAAGTGTCAAATGACTAAGGTTTAATAGTCACGTGACTTTAATATACTTTTCTCTTTCATAGATGTTTTTCCACTAAATTCATCTCATTCTATCTCCAAGAGTCAGTCTGATGATCTCAATAAGGAAAATCAAAAGCCAATTTGTAAATCTGACAAATGTACAGAAGCAGACTCTCATAAGAATTCACCTTCAGATGAATTAGAAGAAGGAGAAATTATAAGTGACAATGAAACATCCAAACCACAAGATAGTTTTGAAAAAAGTACCAAACCTGGAGTTTCTGTTCAAGTGCGGAACACAAAGACTAATTCAGGAAGAAGGAAAAGTACTGTGCATTTGGATGAAGATAATAGGAAAACATCTTCTGTAAAAAATCATCAGACCAATAACAAATGTAACAAGACACCTAATGAATTTAGTAGATCTTCAAAAACAAAGAAGAAAGATAAAACAATGAGCACTTCCAGCCTTGAAAAAATAGTTCAAATTGTTGCTGTACCCTCTTCTGTACGAGAGGTTATGCACATGTTACGAATGATACGGAAACATGTAAGGAAAAATTATATGAAATTCAAGGTAAAATTTTCATTAATACAATTTCATAGAATTATTGAGTCAGCAGTTTTGAGTTTTACATCACTAATTAAACACCTTGACTTCTCCAAAATCTCTAAGTCAGTGGCTACTTTACAGAAGAATCTCTGTGATACTATAGAATCTAAACTTAAGCAAGTTAAAAAGAATGGCATAGTTGATCGTTTATTTGAGCAGCAACTACCAGATATGAAAAAAAAACTGTGGAAATTTGTAGATGAGCAACTTGATCATTTGTTTGGAAAGCTTAAGAAAATCTTGGTAAAGTTTTGTGATGCCATAAACTTTGGAAGTGACAGTGATGAAGGAAAACGTGAAAAAACAAATAAAGAAAAAGTACATTCAAATTGTCAGAAGGGGAATACAGAGAATTCCAAAAGAGAAATGTTGAAAGTAAAACCCTCCAAATCAGAAGACTCTGTTCATTTTAAGTTTTTACTGGGATGCAAAAAATCTGAGGAAAAACATCAAGACCAAAACAGCTCCAATATTAACACAGTAAAACATGGCACTAAAAAGAAATTTAATACCTGCTGTGATAATACAGCAAACTCTGAATCCAAAGAGCTCTCCTTGGAACTAAACTGTCTGGGCACCTCAAAGCCAGGAAAAACTGAAGGCAGCACTGTAGAAGATGCACAGGCATCCCAGCATGCATCTTTGAAGCCAGAACGTAGTTTTGAAATTCTTACTGAACAGCAAGCATCTAGCCTTACTTTTAATTTAGTGAGTGATGCACAGATGGGTGAAATATTTAAAAGCTTGTTGCAAGGTTCTGATCTTTTAGACAACAGTGTTAACGGTAATGAAAAAAGTGAGTGGGAGTTGAAAACTCCAGAGAAACAGCTGTTAGAGAGTCTTAAATGTGAATCAATACCAGCATGTACAACTGAAGAGCTGGTTTCAGGTGTGGTTTCTCCAAGTCCTAAAATGATTAGTGATGACAATTGGTCATTATTATCATCTGAAAAAGGGGCATCTCTGTCTTCAGGACTTTCATTGCCAGTTCATCCTGATGTATTGGATGAAAGTTGTATGTTTGAAGTGTCCACTAACATAACTTTAAGTAAAGATAATATTTGTAGTTCAGAAAAGAGCAAGCCCTGCATTTCTTCCATACTGCTTGAAGATCTAGCAGTCTCTTTAACAGTGCCATCACCTCTGAAGTCAGACGGTCATCTCAGTTTTTTAAAACCTGAGGTTTTGTCTAGTTCAACTCCTGAAGAAGTTATTAGTGCCCATTTTAGTGAAGATGCCTTGCTTGAGGAAGAGGATGCATCTGAGCAAGATATTCATTTAGCTCTGGAGTCTGATAATTCAAGCAGTAAATCAAGTTGTTCTTCATCATGGACAAGCCGGTCTGTTGCTCCAGGCTTTCAGTACCATCCTAATCTACCCATGCATGCTGTCATAATGGAAAAGTCCAATGATCATTTCATTGTGAAAATACGGCGTGCAGCACCATCTACCTCCCCTAGTCTTAAACAGACTATTGTGCCTGAAGAGTCATTGGCATCTTTGCCTATGATGAGAAAGGAAGCTGATGAAGCAACAGAGAAAGAATATATTTCTTGTCAGAACTCAGTTTTTAAATCTGTAGGTGAATTGGAAAAATCAAACAAAAATGTTGGTGGCAGTAGATTGGCTGGTGAAGACCAGAACTCTATGATACAAACACAGGTTCCTGATATATATGAATTTCTTAAGGATGCTTCAGGTAAAGTAGATGATAGTAATGACGTGGCTGATGAATGTTTCAAATTGCATCAAGTGTGGCAACCAAAAGTACCTGAAAGCATTGAAGAATTGCCTCCAATGGAAGAAATGCCACAGTCTGTTGAGGATCATCTTCCAAACACATACATAGACTTAACAAAAGATCCAGTCACTGAGACCAAAAATTTAGGAGAATTCTTAGAAGTAACAGTTCTAAATATTGATCAGTTGGAATGTTCTGGAGGCAACTTGGATCAGAATACTCAAATATTAGACAATTCTTTACACCTGGATACTGTCGGTGCTTTTATTGATTTGACACAAGATGCTTCAAGTGAGAGTAAAAATGAAGGTCACCATTCTGCTATAGCTGATGGAGATTTGGGGTGTCAAGTGATATGTGTAGAAGAGAACTGTAAGGAAGAAAAGAAGGTGCATGTGGCAAATAGGCCCATGGGATGCATTGTGGAGGAAGCATGTATTGATTTGACCACAGAATCTGCCAGTCCATGTGATGAAGTAAAAAAAGATTTAAAATCAGTGCCAAAGTCAAATTCTGAGAGTTCAGAATTGCCCAAGGCTTTGAATAATATGCACAAAAAAAGGAAAAACATTTCTGATCTAAATCATTCTTTTCAAAAAAAACAAAGAAAGGAAATAGACTTAACCAGTAGAGAAAAAGCCAAGAAAGTCACTCAAGATTCTGGTGAGAATGATGAAGCTCACCAAAGGAAAGCAAGTAAGAAAAAGGCCCCTGCAGTAAATAAAGATTCTTCATCATTAAAAGCAAGCCCAGGAATGCAGGATTCATCAGCAACACCTGCTACTTCTATGAGCCTTTCTGCAAAGAATGTTATTAAAAAAAAAGGAGAAATTATAGTTTCATGGACAAGGTAAGAATCTCTTTGTGAGACATTTAAGTCACCAGGATATTTTGAGAGGCCAAAAATATTCTGTCATATTTTCGTGGTTTTATCCTATCTTAAACTAAGGAAAGTGATGACTTCAAAAGTGGCCAAAGTTAGGAGAAATGTATTTCAGAGTACAGTCCAGCTTTACTGTGGAATGGACTAGAGCAGTGGGTTTTAAATAAGGAATGTGTTGTAGCACCACAGGGAGAACTCTTCATTATGTTTAACTTTACTTTTTCAAAAAAGAATTCTTTCATGTGGGAGAAATAGGTAGGAGCACATTTTAGAAAGGAAGAATGATGATGAAACAAGGGCAAAAAGTTGGAATGTTTGTAATTTGAATTTTTTCACTAAATTAAAAGTTTAATAAATGGGTTGTACTTTTGATTTTTATGTAAACTTTTTTTTTTTTTAAGAAATGCAGATTCCTAGACCCCACTTCAGACATAAAGGTAACTAACCACAGTTGTGAATTATTAGAATAGAGGTACACAATCTCCATAAATGACTAGAGTGCTTAATGTGGGAAGATGGATTTTCTTAAAACTGATCATTTTTGTTGAATACTCCAATTCTCTGCATCCCATTTCATAACTTGTGGGTGGCAGAATAAAATTCAGAAGTGTAATAACCTACTGATTTCACACCATACAGAAATAGAGAAGTAGGAGATCTGGATTCTATTCTAGCTCTGGTTCTTCAGCTTCAGCTTATTAAGCTTGTGATGATACTTGGGCCTTAATTTTTAAAGTACTGTGTACATTAAAAGTAAAATAAAAATAAGACTTTAATTTTGTCATTAGAAAAATATATGAATATGTTTATTTTAGGTTTTTTTTTTTAAATTGTGATTTGGATGTAAGTTTATGGAGCAAGTTGGTTTTCCATTCAACAGTTCATACACATTTTGTCACATTGATGGCAATCCCCACAATGTAACAGCACTTTTCCTACTTCCTCCTGGTGTTTATCATTTCCCTTTGTCTTTCTTTCCTGTCCTTTGTTGTAAATTTGGTAAGTACAAGTGAGCTCAAAGATTAAAATCATCCATAATATTATTTGTCAGAGATAAACATTATTGATATTTTGGTATATACTCTTTTTTTTCCTTTTTTCTATGGGTTTCAATGAAAATGTCACCACCTCTTGGTGGATGTTAATACAGTAGAATTTTTGTTATCCTTCTACTCTAATGTACAAAAGTTAAATCATGTTTCTCTCCCCTTAGAAATGATGACCGGGAAATTTTATTGGAATGTCAGAAAAGAGGGCCATCAATGAAAACATTTACTAGTTTAGCTGACAAATTGAATAAAAATCCAAATCAGGTAACTACCCGATTTTTACATCTCAGTTGAGGCATAGATATTGATTGCTACTCTAAATACTTAGAGTAAAAAATTAAATTAAATTAAATTTTAAAGTGTCTAAAATACATAGATATTTATTAGCCAATTTCTTTAAAAATATTACTTGGTATAGGACTATTAAATAAAAATAGTGATTATGGAAGAAGTTGACTAGAAAGATCAAGATTTTTTTCTCTACTTACTTGATCTCAAGCAATTTTGTAATGTTTGCTTGTTTAAGTTTAATATTCAAAAATTACACTAGCAGTCACTTTTTGTATGAAGATATTTTATTTTCTTAAATATTAACTTCATCTGTTATTGAGAGTAACTTTCTATGTTTAGGTATTTTATGAAAGTATTCATCAGTGATGGAAAAATATTACTGAAATATTGATAATTGACACTCATTTCTAATTTTTTAGGTCTCAGAAAGATTCCAGCAGCTAATGAAGCTTTTTGAAAAGTTAAAATGCAGGTAGTTAATGGTTACACTTCAAGACCCTAGTAAAGTAAATGCTTGACACTCTTAACTGTGCAGTTACTGGCCTGTTAGTCATTGAAGATGTGAGTAATGGGTGAGAAACATCCAGTTGAGTTCCTGCTTCAGTCACTGGTTGGGGATGGTTGCTTGTGCAGTCATCTAAGGCTACCTCATCCCCTGGGATGTGCTTGGAGTGACGCCTACTGCATTTCAGATCAGCAGGGCCTCTGCTCAATCCCCGATTGCTGATGAGTCTAAGGTGGGGGGAAATCCATTTGATGGTTTAAATAATAAATTTATAGATGAAGAAAAAGAATACATTCTTAAGTAGAAAAGTTTTATAACCCGTGGAATCTGTGTAGTCATTGTAATTTAATATATCTCACATTTTTAATTAGGAATGTTAAAATAAAGTGAATAAATACAAAACAGGAATTTAAAAACTTGAATTCCGTTCTCATCTGAAGAGATAACATGATTAATTATGTTACATTATTAACAATGTTCACAGACATGTTTCCTCAGTTTCTTTAAGGCATTTTTTGGTACAGGTTTATTAGGGCAATATTTAGATTATCAGAAGATACTTCCTTTAAGAACTGAGCCAATTGCTTAAATATTTTGGATTTTTACTTCATGCAAATTTCGTTTCATTTGTTGTCATAATTATTTGAACAAAAAGTACCCAAGTTGAAATAAAATTAAATCTGAATAGAAACCAAATTTTCTCTGCCTTTAATAAATTGATTTTTTTGTTTTGCTTGAATGTTAAAATGCGATTTCTGTTCATTTGTGAAGAAAATGTAAATTTATGAAAGAATTAACTTTGTATCTGGTAGTGATGCTTATTAGTTTGAAATTACCAAATTCAATTACCAATATAAAATTCCTTAGTGAATTTGATACTTGAGATTTAATTTGCTTGCATGATAACACATGTAGTGGGTTATTTCATTCCTAGCTTGTCTCTTAACTGTTTTTATTCCCAAGTGTTACAATCTCATTAAATTCTTACAAAATCAAAATATAGTGATAAACTTACCAAACTGATTCTGTAAATGCTAGTTTTTTTTAACGCTAATAACATCCAAGTAGAACTCATTCAAAAGATCAGTGCTTTGTGCAATGGTCATCTCAGAAAAATAGAATCATAACTGTAGCATTTTCTTACATTACAGATAAGTTGCTGAATCCTTAGAGTCTTAATTGATATTGCATATTACACAGAAGCTTGGAGTTCCTCATGTTTTAAATGGGGAACTAGAGGTTATTTTTAAGAAAAAAAATCATATTTTTGATTACTAGGTGGTCTACATATGTTACTCCTTGCTGACTCATCTCAGGTCAGCCTGTTCAGCTAGTTGCAGTCATTTATGTGATTTGCTTACCTGTACTGGTCAGGATATTTATTTTTAAATATGTTAGAATATGAAAGCAGCAGTGACATAGTGTTGATAACTTAGTTTTGCTATTTCAAAGAAGTGAGTTACTTTTTTTACATTTTTGAAAATAGTTTTGCAACATGTTAAACCTTGTAACTGGTTCAACTTTTCATTCATTTTTACTTGCTTTCCTAATTGCCTCCCCTCATTTTGGTACATTGGTAAAATAATTTAAATAGTATATTTGTAAATATGTGTAATTATAATGATGTAAAATATCTCTGGGTGTGTATATATACACATAAAAGGCTTTGTGTGGCCAAGAATTTTTTTATCTGTATAAAACCTTTTGTATAAAGTTTGCTTTCTATATCAGTAATGTATATTAATAAAACCTTGTAAAGTTGTTATATTTTGGTTAGAATGTTTCTTTTAGAGTGTTTAGATTTTTATTAACTAGACTTTGATATCACTTATGCCCTTTGTATGACAGATTGGAGTACATTTTCAAAACTCATTTAACAGTAAAAATGTCACTGCTAGCTCTGCCACTGGGCCCTTTCTAGGCTGTTGCTGCTTTCAGTGTTTCAGCTCTTGTCCAGTATCACAGCTCTTCTAGGAGGTTCCTTGGCTTACTTCAACCAGCTCTGGTGGTGCAGTGGTTAAAGCATTTGTCTGCTAACCAAAAGGTTGGTGATTTGAACACACCAGCTGCTCCACAGAAGACAGATGAGGCAGTCTACTTCTCTAAAGATTTTAGCTTTGGAAACCCGATGGGGCACTTCTACTGTCCGGTAGGGTTGCTGTGAGTTGGAATCGACTCGATGGCAGTGCGTTTTGGTCTGCCTCCCTTTTTTCTCTGCTTTTATTTTCTGCTGCGTCTCTTCTTGCTTCTTGCTGTGGTGTGCTACATGTATGTACAAACTCCTTGTCAGTTTCAAGGCATGGCCCTCCCAGCATAGTCATGACCTGACTGGTCCCCTCTGGGTAAGCCACAGACATTTCACTTGCATAGTTATCAGGTGCGTCTAAGCAATATCTAAGGAACTCTGGTGGTGTAGTGCCTAAGACATTTGACTGCTAACCAGAAGGTGGGTGGTTCAAATCCATCAGCTACTCCGCGGAAAGAAGAGTGGGCAATCTGTTTCCGTAAAGATTTACTCCCTTGGAAACCCAGTGGGGTTTACTATGAGTCCGAATCAACTTGATGGCAGTGTTTGGTTTTTGGTTTGAGGTAGTATCTCACCGCTTTTATAGAGTCTATTGACCAAACCCTGAAAGGTGTATACCAATCACGGCAAGTTTTACCCCAGGACAAGATAAAAAAGTATCAAACCAAGTTGTTGATAGCTTATGGGAAATGCCAATCAACCTGGCAAAAGCAGCAAACCATCTGGGATAGCAAACTAAGCCAAGGTAATTCCTTAGGGTTTAGGGGGAAAATCTCTCAAGCTGTTTTTCAAAGAACCAAGAAAAAAAGCTACAAAAAGGAATTTACTACACCAAAGCTATATACAGGTATGCATTGCTTAACACATCTGATTACATATATGCCCGTGGTCCCATAAAGTTTTTGGTTTTTTAAAGGGAAAGCAGCTCTCCTTTATTTATTTTTTAAAAAAATTTTATTGTGTTTTGGGTGAAAATTTACAGAGCAAATTCACTTTCTACAGCAGCACATATACACTTTGGTCTCATGACATTGACTGCAATTTCCCACAATGCAACAGCTCGCCTCCCACCTCCTCCCCATAGTTACCTCTTCCCTGTGTCCTTCCCTCCCATGCACTCCTGCCCCCGCCAGCTGTCTCCCTGTGCGTACAACAGCTTTTCTATTCTCCCATGATTGTTCTCTCCAAGGAGTGTATCTACTTAGTGTAAATGTTCAGCTCATATGCCTATCTTTTGTTTGACTGGCAGCAACAGGAGTGGGTTCAATTCCAGACCTGAAGGGCAGCTAGGGGCCATAGTCTTTGGTTCCATCAGGCTCTATCAGACCAGCAAACCTGGTCCCTTTTTTTTTTTTTAAGTGTGAGTTTCATTTCACATTGTACTCCCACTCTATCCAGGATCTCCTACATACATCTCCCTCTGAGTGGTTGACAGTTTAGCCAAGCACCATCTAGTTCTTTGGTCTCATAGTGGTATAGGCTTAGGATGTCATGGTGTAGCAGTTGCTTGGACTAATTGTTTTCATGCATCTTTGGTTTTCTTCATTCTTTGCTCTGGACAAGGAGAGACCCATCATTGGATCTAGATGGTTGCTTGCAAGCTTTTAAGATCCCAGTTGCTACTTGCCAAAGTAGGATGTGGAACAATGTTTTTGTGTAGTACGTTATTCCAATTGAGCTTGATGTCCCCTGTGACTATGGTTCCGAGCCCACAGGTGCAACTATTCACTCTGTCTGGGTAGCTGGCTGTGCCCAAGAAGTGACTACAACCTTGTCCCTTGTCAGCTCTACAATATACCTGGGAATTTTTACAGAACATTCACATACACTTTTAAAAACATTGTCTGCCAACCCTGTACATAGTCATAGGCACAACTCCCCACTGCATAGACATACCTAATAGTTCAGCCTGTTCACCCATCTGTCCACCCATATATCAATGTTTGCCTTCACTGACAACACAGTACTGTACCTGCAAAAAGGTTAATTTTTTTTGTGTGTACTCAATGCACCTCTCTGTCTTCCACTTCCTCACTGCCACTGTGTTGATCATTCACATTTGGTACACTGTCCTTCACCCAAGTCAGTACTTCTCTCAACCTATCTAACAGTGTTCCCTCTCCTCCCCTCCCACCCCTGGTAACCAACAAAGAAAATTTCCTTCCATATATAAACCTTTCCTTGACTTTTTACAGTAATGGACTAATACAATATTTATCCTTCTGTAATTGACTTACTTCACTCAGCATAATGTCCTCCAAGTTTATCCACGTTATGTGGTGTTTTGCAGATTCTACATTATTGTTTAGAGTTGCATAGTATTCCATTGTGTGTATGTACTATAGTTTGGTTATCCGTTCTTCTGTTGATGGGCATGTAGGTTGTTTCCATCTTTTTGCTATTGTAAATAGTGCTGTGATGAACATGGGTGTGCATATATCTATTGTCCTGGCTCTCACTTTAGGATATATACCTAGTAATGGGATTGCTGGGCCAAATGGTATTTCTCATTCCAACTTTTTAAGGAATCACCATACTGCTTTCCACAGTGGTTGTATCATTTGACAATCCCACCAGCAGTGTATGAGAGTCCCAGTCTCTCCGCATCCTCACCGGCATTTGTTATTTTCTGTCTTGTTAAACCTTGCTACTAGTGCTGGGACAAGATGATATCTCATTGTTGTTTTGATTTGCATCTCTGGTGGCATAGTGCCTAAGGCATTTGACTGCTAACCAGAAGGCTGGTGATCAAACCCACCAGCTATTCCTTGGAAGGAAGGTTGAGCAGTCTATTTCCGTACAGATACCCACTTGGAAACCCAAGGAGGGGTCGCTATGAGTTGACTCAACTCGGATTTTTCTATCCTTAAAGAATGTTAATGGGGTCTGGATTGGGATTGGATTGAATGAATAGATTGCTTTGGTTAGCATTGACATTTTCACAA